GTAGTTCAAGTTTGAGTTGCTGGACTATTGGGAGCAAAGAGAAGATAAATGGATGGATTCCATAAGGAATCCACGTAAGTTTTTGTGATAGTTGGGGTAATTGTAACAACAGAGAAATAAGTGGCAAGGATAACTCTTTTTAATCCATTGTGGATAATCACTTGGGGATAGCCAGCCATTCACTTGAGATGGGAAATGCTGAGAAGTACAAAATTTGAGAATGAAAAAAATAATATGGCTTTAAAAAAAAACCAAACATATATATATGTTGTTGTTGTTGTTATGTGCTGTGGAGTCGGTTCCGACTCATAGAGACCCTGTACAGGGTTTCCTAGGCTGTAAATCTTTACGGGAGCAGAATGCCTCATCTTTCTCCCGCGGAACAGCTGGTAGTTTCGAACTGCTGACCTTGCGGTTCACAGTCCTATACGTAACCACTACGCTACCAGAGCTCTGTATATACTTAATACAGACATGCAAATACTTTAAATTTTGGGTTAGGTGTATGAACTTCGGTTAAGAATTTTATTTGCATAAAAATCCAGTTTATTAACCATTTTTTGCCTAATCAATATATTTTTTAAGTGTAGAGTAATCATTAAGAACTTTCATCTCTTGCATCTCTACCATAAAGAAGGTTGTAGCTTTTTATTTTTTCTTTTGTCAGAAGACAAACATCTCTCTCATAAAGGGATACAATTTTAAACAACCAAAGTCATGAGCCAGTACTCTGTTGTTTCACTTCTAGGCTCAGGCAACATTTTACAGCCTATCAGGCTTATATAGTCTACTTTTATGGTTACTTTCACTGCCACTCTTTTGAGACATAGTGGTTGATTTTTGGTGTTCCAGACAAATTACGTTGTCATTCTCCATTTCATTATCTCATGTAGTCATCCTGCCTTATTGTATAATGCCGATTTTCACTTAGCGACCTGGTGTTTGGAATCTAATGTTGATAAGTGAGGAGTGTAGGTATGTAAAAAATTTCAGCCTGTTTTATTTAACAGAGGAGTTCTTGAATCCCTTTGCATCCCTGATTTGGTGACTGGGTGATTGTCCTCTTTACAAAGCAGAATGGAATCATTGGAGGCATTCTGGTGGTGCAGTTGTTAAGTGCTTAGTTGCTAAGGAAAGATTGGTGGTTGGAACTCATCAGTAGTTCTATGGAGGAAGAGTTGTGGCACTCTGCTCCTATAAAGATGCTAAACCGTGACCCCCCCCGTCCTTGCCAAGCCCCCCTTACACACACACACAGCAAACAGAATTAAAAAACAAAAAACAAAAAAAAACTATTGCCCTGGAGTTGATTCTGACTCACAGGTGATCATATAGAACAGAGTTGAACTGCCCCATAGGGTTTCCAAGGCTGTAATGTTCATGGAAGTAGACTCTCTGGTAAACCTTGTGAGTTGATTCTACTTTGCCCTTTTGAAAGGTACTGGTGAGTCAGAATTGACTTGACATACACAACAACAGTGGAAACCAGGAGATAAGAAATTTATTATTGCAAACTTTGCTGGTGGTAAATTTTATCTGTCGGGATTTTTTTGTTGCAAGCAAAAATTGACTGACTTCAGAGTCACTCCCCGCCCCCCAAATATTCAAGAATATGGGAGAGCTCATAAAATTGAAGAACCAAGAGGTAAAAGCCACAGCAATGATAGCATCTCTGGTATCTAGATAGCAAGAATTAGTGGATTATTTCTTTAGGATAGTAAAGTTCAAGTGAAATAGCTCCACCCACTTAATTTAAAAATATTACTATGTACTATAAATAGTTGTTAAGTGCTGTCTACTTGGTTCTGACTCATAGCGTCTCTGTACAGGGCTTCTGAGGAGTAGCTGATGTATTTGAACTGCTGACATTGTGGTTCAAAATCCAGTGTTTATCCTAGTGCACCACACCAGGAGTCCATAAATAACTGAGTGCAGTTGTGTTTTTATACTCTATATCCTGTTTGGGATATAAAGTATGAATATGGTGTGAGTTTACCTTGGTTTATTTAACCAGTTCCACTTTGATGAACATTTGTTTCTTGTCTTCTATTATATGTCTCAGTCATTGGTCTTTATTTCTTAAGTATTATGAGTATATTTTGGGGAGAAATTCCTAGATAAAAGTTTGCTAAGCAAATTCTATGACCCACTTGATGACACTTAAAACAACAACATAACTGTGACTTAAATAATAGTATGTGGACTTACCTTGAATCTTAAATATCAGATCCAGATATTAGCCATTTTTTTCTGTTGGCTTAATGTAATGTGTAGTAATTTATTAAATCCTGATTTGTTCATGTTAGTACATATTTTAGAGTCTCAAGTCTTTTTTCTTAATTTGAATGTCTCTAATTCTTTTACTAATGCACATCATTATCATCATTTATCACAATTCTTAATATTTAAAAATGTTTTATATTGACATTCTAACTGTTTAAGTCTCAAAATAGCATCTAATCATGAACTTAGTGAGCATCTTTAGCCCTACTCTTAATTTTGTCAGACAGTGAAATATGATTTTGACTTACATAATATTGTTTCAGGTGTGTCTTTTTGATATTTTCTAAAAATATATATGTTTTTAAATTTACAAATAGAATCGAGTTTTGTTAAATTCTTTTACAGAAATGATTGAAGTGTGGTTACAATTTAATTTTATTAGTTTGTTTCAGATCACATCAGTATATTAGACAATTCTCACTAATTATTTTCTATTTTAAAATATGCATATAAATATTTTAATGACAGTGAAACAAATAAATGAATACTTATTTTATTTGGTATGCTTTAGTATTTTTTAAACATTTAAGTGCAAATTTATTAGCACATGAATTTAATATTTTGCATGTATGTTCCAGTTTTCTTTCTTTAGTGTTTTAAAATGATTCTCTTAATCAAATTTAATTTTTTAATGTTTAGGATATTGGGTGAAGAGAGATTCATATGTAGAATCTGTCAGATTCAGTTGGAAATGAGAAACTTTAGATTGGTAAATAGATTGAGACTGTTGGATTCTTTCACTCCAAGAGGAGAGAATTCTGTGTAGATACAGAAACCTTTTGTCTTCTGGGAAAATATATCTTGAAAGCAGTAAGCTTTATAATTATATGGTGCTTGGAGGCAGGTGGTGTAACACTGATAGGTTATTCTAAGAAAATAAAAATGTCCCTTCGTAGTAGTTGATAAACATTAATCACAGAAGACTGATAATGTACCAAGTGATACATTTGGTATGCTGTGAGGTAGTTTGGAGATGTATATATAGTAGGAGGCTTTTAAAATTTTGTTTTTGACTTTTAAAATCTACACTATTGTAATTAGTATTTTTGTAGATAAACCTTGGGAGGAAATGATATTTAGTTAGATAAATGTATTTTCCCACATTATTACTAATAAAGAAGTTGACTAGTTAATAAATACTGTCGAGTTGGTTCAATGTAGCTGACTTTGCAGTTTAAAAGACTCACTTTCTATAATTTCTAGTCACTGGTGTGCCTCAGTGCCAAAGAACAAGAGATAAGTAGTATACATGCTTTTCAAAGATTCTGGCCACTACATATTATTGACTGAAGGAGCAGAAATATTAGCTGAGGGATCAGATAGCTTCTCTTTGCCTTCTCATTATTTGCACCCAACATTGGATGCCTCTTCCAGTGTGTGAAAATAGCTAAGAAGCATACAGACCCTGACAGAGAATGAAAATTAACTATTTGAATTGGATGATTACATAGTAGTAGTTCCTGTATTTTTCCCTTTTGATCAAATACAGTGCCACCATTTAACATTGTAATTTCATTTATAATAAAGTTATTTAAAATTTTATTTTCTTATATAATGCAAATTACATAGTACTGGGCACTAAGAAGACACAGTTACCAATTAGTGAGGTGATTCAGCATCAGCTTATTTTACTCAAGAACTCAGCATATTGTTGAGAGTGAAGAGTGAAAATAAATTAATAATTGAATATTTTTAGGAGAATTTTCACTAGTATTAAGTTTTACTATTTGTCCTTCACGAGCCCAGAGTGTCATCAGATTACCATTGCTTTTCAAGATAATATTATCAAGAATATAGGAATGATTTCAAATTGATGTCTGAGATATAGATAATTTAGGTGTCTGTTAAAAGAATTGTTTCTGTACATAAGTTAGTTTTAAAAAATCTGATTTTTTTTTCTTTTAAAGATTTTTTTTTTTTACTTTAAAAAAATCTAATTTTTAAAAATCTTTTAAAGATCCTACACTATAATCATAATTTGGACAAATAACACTTAGGTTCTGTCTCTCATGTACACACATGTCCCCACACACAGCCCATATACCTGTATTAAACTTTTGAACTATAGATTAGAATTACTCTACGTTGAGGAAAGGATTTCCCTTGTCTTTTATAAGAATTGCTTATTTGATTAGGTATTATCCTTTTTAAGTGTTATATTGATTAGATTTCAAAATTACTTAATACAGACTAAAAGACTTAGACTACTGATTTGAAAATGTGAGATACACTGGAAATAGAATTAAGCACATTAAGTATTGAGTACTTTTGTTTCTGTGATTGTCAACTTTAACAATTATTATAGTTCTGGTCTGGTGATTTATCTTTACAAAACAGGATAAAAATGATTGTTAATGTTAAATAACAATCTGATTAAATGTATACTAATAATTTTACAGACTTGTGTGAAATAAAAATGCTATTTTAAGTTAATCAGTTAATATTTTTTGATGGAACCAAACAAAATTAATTGTGCAAATATTTGTACTGTTGTTGTTGTTATGTACTATGGAGTCGGTTCTGACTCAGTGACTCTACACAGGGTTTTGAGGCTGCAAATCTTTATGGGAGCAGAAAGCCTCATCTTTCTCCCGCGTAACAGCTGGTAGTTTCAAACTGCTGACCTTGAGGTTAGCAGCCCGATTCATAACCACTACACTAGTACTGTAACACTCAGTAAGTATTTTTGTGTGTGTTTTTACCTTATTTTTTTAAATAAATCTTAATACAATTTCATTGTACACATTGCTCATCCTAGAATCAAGTGTTCAACCAGTTGTAGTTTTTCCCTATTCCTCTCCCCCCAATGTCTTTTAATTGATGATTCAGAATTATTTGTCATATACCAGATTAAAAATTGCCGGTTTGTAAATTTAGCACTCAGACAAAGACATAGGTGCCATAAAATGATTAAGTATTGGCCTGTGTACACACCTGTTGATAGGAAATAAACTTCCCATATATTGCAGTTTGGCAGACATGAATCTTTAAAATATATTGAATGAAATTGCTGCTGTGCTCTTTATCTTTTTTTTTTTTTCCTAACGGTACATCCTCTTTGTACCTCACTTTTATTTCATTTAGAGGAACATGATAGATTTTTATAGTCAGATATACTCAAAGTTAAGTAGTAGTAGTCTTTTAAGAGTGCAGTAACTGATAGAATTTAATAACTCATTGATACTAATTTGGCCCTTAATACCAACAAGGAAACAAAATTTGTATACTCTGAAACATTTAATAACTTCTTTTATAAAAACTTGAGCCTGAGACACATTGAGTTTCACATTTTATCACATCATGTCAAAATAAGTTTTCCCCAATAAATGTATTAATAAAAGAAAAAATGTATCTCATTGTTTTTAAAGAGTAAGTGTTTAAATGAGAACTGCATTTGAACTTTATAAGTGCATTGTGGAATAACTCAATTAAATCTAATTGCATGGAATTAAGTTTTGAGAACTCTAGTTTAGCGAGTTCAAAAAATTTGTCCATGCCTCAATTAAAAGGTCTTTTTATAATTGGTAATAATGTTTTATTTACATTTGTATATTGAGGTAAAAAAACTAAATCTAAAATGAATGGTCTTTTGAATGAATGGTATACATTTTTTAAATTAAAATTTATGTGGAAAATATACACAAATATATTGGCCCCTTAAAATAAGATTTGGACTATTGATGTATGCATGCGTGTTATTGCATGTTAATACACAGAATCCCCTTATGCTTTTTTAAATAGATTCTTTTGGGTTTCCTCTTTGTTAATATAATAATGTAGTTCTCATATTTTCCTTTTCAGAAATTAAAAAAATATTTTTGTAATTCTTCACATCATGGGCATTAACTAAAACTTGTTCTATCGATGTAACCAATTTTAACTATACATGCTTTTAGCACTATTTACAGATTGCATCTTTGAAAAAAATTGTCTTTTCTAGTGTAGTTTACGGTGCCGATACCTGCCTGCCTTTTCTTTTGCTGCGTTGGCACAGGCATTGTGCTTATTTTGTTGTAAATGGTTCCAGTATTTTATCAGTTCACTAGGCTGGAACTGATGAGAGGTAATTAGGTGGCTGTATTTACAGCTTGAATAAGAAACTCGCCAGTGATTGAACACAAACTCATTGGGAGGGGGTACAGGATCAATTCTCAACTTGGCAAGACAGATTCCCACATATACATCTTCCAAGTGCAATCGACGGATACCTAAAGAAACCTTAAATATCTTTTCTGCCAGATCTCCAGAAAAAACATAACCAGTTCCAGAACAGAAGACAGGGTAGCGCTCACTTGGATAGAGTTCTGGTGGCATGTACCACTTGCTATCTTTGTTTCGATTGGGTGCATATCCTCTCATTAGATAACCTGTAAAATAGTTATGTTTGGGCGGCAGATCTGGCTTCAGTAGCTTATGTATTAAATACTCAGTGTTGACAAACATGTCACTGTCAGTTTTCATAACATATGGAATATGTGGACAATGTGTTGCAACCCAGTTCATGCCCATTAGTGTTTTAATGGTCAAATTATAGTATGTATCTAAATATTCTTGTTGAATTATATCATGATGTTGTCTGCTTTCTTCCAGTATTGCACGTTGAAGGTAGCCATTTAGCTTAATACTTACTCCCAACAAAAAAATTCGTGTGATTTGAATGCCAGGAGTTAGACTCTCATTGCCCCAAGTTTGCCGAATAGCTCTCCTAGCTTCTATTTGTCCAGGTTCTGCAGCTATTAGTAGTATTAGAAAAGGACTTTTTTCTTGGCATTTTTCAGGTTCATTGATAATATATTTGAAATGGTAAGAATTTGGATGACCAGTACCTTTCTCATTATAAATACTTCCATTGGCACTAAGTGTATTCTCCAGCCCTGTAACTCCTTGTGGTGACAGATCTGTATTATTAGAGTTAGTGGCAGTTTGGGGCTTCAGAGTTTGAGGAACTGTTTCTTTCCAAATGTTCCGAAGGGAGCTGTGGTTTGTCTCACTTTTTGTAGAGCGAAATCCTCGGAAAGTATATGTCACAGGATTGTCTTTGAATCCAGCTTTGCCTGGTAACCAGTCATGATGATTGAAAAACAAAAACATGGCAAAAAGAAACACTAGAGAAAGCACACCAATAAGATGGGTACGGAACAGAGACCTCTTGGCATTCCAGGTCATCTTTGCAAAGCAGCAGTGTCTTCTTCTCCACTGAAGCATGTTGTAAATATCCAATAATGGGATATGAGATAATGATGGCTGAAAATGTTTTCTTCTTCTGAATCAATACTATTCTTTGGTAATCATTTTCTAATTCCATCACATTGTATCCTTTGCAGTCATTCTACAAAGAGAAAACATAAAATTTGTAAAATGCTTACTATTACAAAACTTCCTGAAAGGGATTTGAAATGGATATAATGTTTCCTAAGCTGTGAAAATAGTAACTCAGAAATGAAACATAATTTATATTCTTTTGTTAATATGACTCTAATATCAATAGAAACAAGAGTAATGTGTTTAAAAATATAACTTTGTGGCTAAATGAACGCTTTAAAGAGAGGTGAGAGGTGATGAGTGAATATTTTTTCCCACTTTTTCCATTGTCTCAGTAGCTCTGACCATTTATACTTTTGACTTAAGTTAGAGATTTGAAAGCATGTATAAGAGAAAAATGATGCTAGATTCCTGTGAGAAGCCTTGTGAAAAGGCCTTGAGAACAGATGGAAATTTTATTGGCATTAATTAAAATTGATTTGACACACCATTGGTGATATGGTGCACAGTCAGCGGCCTTTTTTGTAAAATGGTCATGTATCAGTTGTGGGACAGACGGTGCAAGGTTGATTACGGCAGAGTTCTATTAGTCACAGTACACTGCTTGGCATGTGTCCATTGGTACCTACTGTGTTGAGAAAGTCAATGAGAAGATGCACCTGTCAAAATTAATTTTCAGGGTCCAATAACTTCAGTGCAGGATTTTTAGACATTTCAGGTATTGTAGTTTTAACTTCTCACTTCTAATATGAGATATTCAGTAGATCATTGCCATTACTTAGACTTAAGTTTGATTTTAAAATATAGTAAGTAATTATCTTTATGGCCTTGCCAGACAGCTATCACATATCTTAGCTAAGTATATTAGAATTATAAAGAGAATTATTTTGAACAATTGTTCTAGTTTTTCTACAGAATATAGGCAGTAGCTACTACCATAGACAACTCTTTGAACTGCAAAAAAAAAAAAAAAAAAAAACCCAAAACATTTAAAAACATTCTAGAGCTGTGTGTGTTCTAAGATTGTGAATAGAGAGTTTAAATAGCTAGGGCTTCTGACTGCACATTCATTAGTGTGTCCTAGATTTTAAAATGATGATGTGATGTCAATATGAGAGATTCTTGGTGCCTGTGATACCTCATATCAAGAGTGTTACCTTTGAACAAGATTTTTTAGTTCATAATACAAACTTTTTCATGGTTTTCAGTTTTTCTGAAGCAAGATATTGGGGTTGGTGGTAGGTAGGGGGTGGGTGAGAAGCTTTCCCAACACAGAAGAAAACTTTGTGGGAAGGGAGACTTTTATTATTTTTTCAGCTTGCTACTTTGAAAAAATTTTTTTAAGCAAAAGAAAACTGTATAGTCAGTGATAAAATTTTGACATGTGAATACTTATTTGAATATGTAATGTATACATGCTTATGTATCTATTTTAACCTTTGCTATTAAAACATTCATGGTTAATAGACTCACAGAACCTTGGCATGAAAATTAAATATTTTTAGTAAATAATAGTGTCTACATGGAAATTTTCATATAGTGACTTTACTATAGCAGAAAATTTCATAACATGAAGTGCTTTGAAAATACTGATTGATGTTAGGCATATTTGAAAGAAAGCACTCCTATTCTGTAATAGCCACTAGGAGGAGCAAGTAGGTGGGAATTTGAACACATTTCTAAAGTGTAAGTATAATAGTATAGGTGCCAGCATTTCATAATCTTTAGTTTCTGAAATTACATAGTAATTTTAGATGCAAAATGTTATTTAATAATCTTGATAGAGATAAATAAGTTGATTTTATTAAGAATTTTAAAGACAAATTAGTTATTTATTAGTATTTATTTACATAAATGTAATTTCAAAATACTACAATGAAGACCAAAGTTACTGATTGTACCAGTAAAATAAAATCCTACTGTGTGTGGCCTAAATGGAAAACAATAAAGCTTGAGTGTTCTGATTAAGAAACTCACTTTCCTCTTTCTCCTACTTGTGAATAGTTGGCAACTCTGTTTAGATTGGGAAGCTATTTCTAAGTTTTTATTTTCAAATGGGGTATCTGGTAAACACTATTGATTCCTTTCCTAGCCATACCCCCAAATAAAGAGACTGATAGAAATAAGGGTCATGTATGTGTAAAGAAATGTTGATTCTTAAGTTTATTTGATAATATTTTTTAAGTATTTCAGAACTAAATGAAATTAACTTTCTTTTGATATAATAATGCTTGGAATATGAGTCGGTTCCAATCATTGAGAACTTTTAAATGTATAAAAAGTTTAAACAATAAATACAAGGTCGTATATTTGAATAAATATATAAATAGCGGAATGAATGAATGATTGAAGGTAGACATAGTATTAACAAGTTGTAGTACATTTATGAAAACAATGCATCTGAAGTGATACCTGTAAGATATTTCAGTTTTACAAAAAACAGCAAATTATTTTATTTTGTAAATAATATAAATACATAGTTTTTGCTTCTAATATAATTTTGTAACAATATGAGATAGTGATAGCAATATGCATTTAAATTTAAATTGTAAGTTTTAAACTGCCAAGGTTTAAAATCCATGTTTACTTATTTGTTAATCTCCCATTGATGAAAGAAATGCATGTGTCTAGCTTTTTAAAATTCTGTATTAACAGTGTCTCAGCTATAACTTGTCATTTTTCTGTTAAAAAACAAGTAAAATCCAAGTAACTGCTTTTTCCTTTAAACAGACTTATTCTTAGTGCTTGTTGTGTATTTCTCTTTTACAAATAGTACAAAACAAGTTAAAATATTTTTGGCTTGCAAAATAATAGTATGTTTTTGCATTTGTAGGATAGTAATAGCTTTGATTTATATATATTATTCTTTTTTGACATAATACTTTCACATTATTAATATGTATTTCAATCTATGGTTTGAAGCTTATGGGAGTAATGGTACTCTAAATTGCTGTTCAGCTCCGTACACATACATATACTCATAAGCTCTTACTATAGTTTGGTTTTTAAAATTATTGATAATCATTTAATCTGTTGGAACAATTTAGATTTAAATGGCGCTTTAATAAAAAAAAAGATACACTTTTAAGATGTCTAGTTTGCAGGAATGTTTTGTTGCCAACTTTAATATTGAAAGATAAAAAGCACTAAGAAGGTCTTAAGATTTTTAAAACCATATTTTGGACTGCTGTTGTTAAATGCTCCTTGATTTTAATCTTTTTTAGAGTATAAATTTATGGTTATAAGTGAGAGTTAATGATTAGAGCTTGATAAACTTGTTTAATTTTAGCTCTTAATTTGGGAATGAAATGATTATACATATCTTAAAAATGTTTGCCTTTTCCTCTTGGTAGTGTAAAGGAGCCATTGTGTGAATTGAGGAAAAATCAGAGGCTGTGATAGATTTGTAAAATATTTCAGAAATATTTTTGAGTTTTTTAGCCCTGAGTTTCTATTTTAACAATGATTGTTGCTAAAATAGTTTATTAGATTTATATTTGCCCTGCATACACATACAGTGGCAACAGTTTGTTGCTACATAATAATATTGAGTAGAAGCACATTGCCTACATTCATATTTAATTTTTTTTGCCTCATATTGCTGCATCTGGATTTTTTTATATGAAAGTATTTTCATATTATGTTTTCGAATTTCAGTTTTAAAATTTGCATGGTGAACCACCTTAGTGTGATTGTGTAAGTATCAGTCTGTTACCTAAAAGAAAAGCACATTACTTTAAATAGAGGAATTTTTAGCAACAATTGATGTCTTTGTTTATTATTGTTGTTTTTACTTTTTTAGTGTAGTTTGGGTGAAAGTTTACAGAGCAGATTAGTTTTCTAATTCAACAATGTATAACAGTATACGTTTTGTTTCCTGATATTGGTTGCAATCCCCTCAATGTAACAGCACTTTTCCCATGTCCTCCCTGAGTTCCCTGTTTCCATCCCTCTTTCTCTCCTGCCCCTTCCTGAGCTTTGTTTGGGGCAAGTGTTGCCCTTTTGGTTATTGATACCTCTTTAAAGTTGTATTCACAGACACTATACTAACATACACATCTACTGTGGTGGTGTTCTGTTCAGACACTCACCATACACTCACACTTTCTTATGCCGATCGTATGCTAATGCTTTCCTTTCAGTTATAGCTGGGTAAGACTTAGAAATTGTTGTTCTCTTAGGCTATGTTCATTATGTTTACTTAGGTAGATATTGGAAGGAAGATACTGCGTAAAATAAACTTATTATGTATTAATATTGTGCTTCAAAAGGACTTTGGAAACAAAGCCTTATTATTAAGATAATCTTTGATACTATTTAATGTAATTTCACTGCATTGTCTCTTTTGATAGCCATTTGTAAGAGAGCCCTTTAGTTTGCTAGACAAGGATTTAATTTGACCTAATTTGATAAAGGATTGCTAGGTTTCCTTTAGAGGGCTACAGATTTCTTTTTCTTTTTTTTTAAGTTTAATTTCTTAGGGAACCCTTTAAGCCCATCATGTTACTACTTGCTTGCCTCCCCCCACCCCCCAATACATTTGTAATACAGAATGACTCCAAGCTACACATTAAACTGAATAAAAGCATTGTTTTCTAAACAATGACAAAACTTCAGATCTTAAATTTAGAAAACCTTTCATAGTTTTAAGTGCGGTGAACTGTATAAACTTGTTTATCAGATATTAGTGCCTCTAGGACTATAAAACGGTAACAGACATTTAAGTAATTATTACAGACAAGGTTTCAACATACCTTCTTCGGTCAGGCCATTTATGGTGAGAAGACTATGCCCACTGAAAATACTTTGGGCACGCCATCACTTCAGCATAAAAGATGCTATCGAACATGAGCACATCCCCCATCAGTCTGCCTCCTGCGATTGCTTTTCACAGTATCCAAAGTGTCCATCTGTCTGATTGTCTTCGAGTTGCCCTCCTTGTTCATATGGGTCCTAGCTTTGTGAGATTTTTTCTTTCTTTCATTTTTTCTTTCTTTAAACAAAAGAGCTGTAGTTGTCCGTTTTATTTGAAGCACTGTTGACTCTTCACGACAGTTGATGCATTGAAGCTTTTTACATCTGCTGTTTTCCTGGCTGGACAATGCAGTGCTGTATTCTCTTCTCAGTATCCATATTTCTAGTAATAACACTGAGCTGCAATGTAAAGCAGCCAGAGCTAGAATGTAGTGCTTCAATTGTATTGGAAAGGAATAGGCTTTACCTCTCGTCTTTCGTAGTTGCCTGGCAGCTGCAGGAAGGATTTTGAGCAGTTATACTGGGGTTTTAGTCTATAATTTGAAATGCACGGTTCCTCAGCTGCTGCACAGGCAGCAGCAGTTTAAATGTGGGCTTGACAGATGCTCTCTTCTGACAGAGCAGAATTTAACGTCACTGCTTGGCTGAATCCCACGTGATTGTTTGCATTCATTTTGACTAAAAATCCAAGGTAGGGAAAAGCTTAAGAGATTTTGCTTTTGTATGGTAAATTATGTATATTCAGAATAAGTGTAATGACGAGTGAATAATATAAAAATGTATTAAGTATAAAATTAATGGTTATAATTTTATTTTTTCCACATTTCTTTTTTTTTTTTTTTTAAGTCTATGCATAAGCACAGGCTTTCTGAATGTTTTCAATGTTAGATGTTGCAGTTCTTTCTTTTTCTTAACATAATAGGGTAGACGCTTACATGTATAACTTTAGAGTAATTTAACCCTTTCAGTGTACTCTTCCCCTTGTAGCTTTTTTTCCCGTTTTCAAATTGCATCTGTTTTACAGTAATCTAGCTAAGACTCAGACCTTTTGTTTTTTAAAAAAAAAATCTGTATTGTAGCCCCCAACCCTACCCCTTTTTGGGGTTAGGTATTTATTATTCTTATCTGTAACTTAGTAGTTTAAAAAAAATTTTCCCATTTTTAAGTTTATAGCAAGCAACTGCTATGGGTTGTTTTACTGGCATGTGAAGTGATAGAGTCCACTTCATTTTTGCTCTTCTGTGGTTTTTTGTGTTCTTAAAAACAACTGTATTTTAAATAAATTTTAATATCCTCATTAAAAATTTTAGTTTTCTACAAAATGCATGTATGATAGAATTCACCTAAATGATACAGTAGATACATTATACTTGTACAGGATCTTTTTGCTGAGTAATGAGGTTTTACTAATTATATTTACTTATCCTAATATTTTAGAATGGTTTAATAACTTGCCAGTTTATAGATTTTGCAGTAAGTAGTAGAAGCTGAATCTGAAAGATTTCTCTGTAGGAATAGTCTACTTGGCATCTAGGCACCTTCCCCTCCCCACGCCCTGTAGAGCATTGGGGTACTATCTTTGTTGTTGTTTTAATAGTCTTAGTTATCAGTTTTTCCTTTGAGATTCTAGGGACAGTAATTAACTCCTAGAAATCTATAGTTTTGGAACTTAAGCTAGTATATGTTTCTACTCATGCATAATCTTCATCTTACCTGTCTTCCTCAATAATTTCTTTTTTTTTTTTTTTTTGCAGTATATATTGATTCAATATTTGAATTTTGGGCCTTATCATAATTTTGAGTTTAACTGATGAAACATGCCTTGTAATTTTAGGAATCGAGTGACTCTACTTTAGACATGTATGTAACTTAATTAGAAATGCTACAAGGAATATTTTATAAACAGGTAACTTAAGACAGAGCACTTTGATTTTTCTAAGTGTGAAGAATAAGATTAAAACAGGTTTCTTAGCATTTAGTTTTTATTTTCACCATACTAAATTGCTCAACAGTCCTTGTTCTTTTCTTAAATACATATATATTTCTAGGTAGGAGAATAATATATAAGTTCTTCCTTAAAATAACATACTCTCCAAAAGTAGAAGTAGGTGTCAGTAGATAAATATTTATTTAGTTGGTGATCCCTTATGTCATTGTTATGTACCGTTGAGTCAGTTCCAACTCATAGCGACCCTATGTAGGGTTTTAGAGAGCAGCTAATAAGTTTGAAATGCTGACCTTGTGGTTAGCAGTTCAGTGTGTTTCCTACAGTGCACCACACCAGGGATCAACTATCCAACTAGCAGCAGTGGTCAAAATCACACTGTGCTAAACTTGCCTGGACTGTATTGGAAAAAACATTTTTTCCTCCTTTTAGCAATTTTTTTATTATTGTACTCATTTTAAAGACGAAGAACAAGTGTTTAAAGTTGTTAATTAGCCTAACTATCACCTATTGAGTGATGAGAAAGAAGCCAAGTTGAAAATTGAAGGAAGATGATTTGAATCTTTGTTTTTCCAGTATGCTACGTGGCACTGCTATAGAAAATTGTATGAACGTTTTTCTTGCACTGGCACAACATTTCTAGGAAATATTAGTAGACTTAAGGATGGTGTGCTTATATTTTCACTTAATTCAAATTAATAACTATTGAGCTAATACCAACTACTAACATTGTGCAAGTCCTAGTATGGCGCTGTAGGATAAGCACTCGACTATAAGTCAGTTTGGATTGCAATGTCAGTGGTTCAAACTCACTTGCTGCTCATTGGAAACCCTATACAGGGTTACTGTGAGTCAAAACTGACTCCATGGCACTTACAACAACATTTGCATTTAGGCACAGTTTATTAAAAGCTGGAGATGCAGAGATGACTTAGATACATTCTCTGGATTTACTATCGATCTTTACTACTAAGAGAGCACTGTCAGAAACCTACTGGACTAGTGGTTCCCTCCAATATTGGGCTGTCTCCCTGGATTCCTTGGCTGTTGTCTCAACTTAGATTAGTATGGGCCAAATGTTGTACAGCAAAATGGACTTTTAAACACTGCTTGCAGAAGATGCCTGTGTACTTAAAACACAAGTTACTTTAGACCTCTTTTTAAAAATTTTTTTTATAACTTTTAATTGTGAATTGAGTGAAGGTTTACAGACAAGATTATCAGCTTTGTATTCAACACATCACACTGTTTCATCTTAGTGATTACAGTCACCTCCAAGCAACAACATTCCTCCTGCTTGTAACCTGTGGTTCCTATTTGCATTCTACCCACCATCCCATCCCTTCTCAACTTTGTCTTTAGGAAAATGTTGTCCTTTGTGTGGCACTGTGGGTTAATGCACAGAATGCAAAGCCATTTGAACTGTATGGTTGTAGGTTCGAGTTTTTTTTTTCACCAGCTCGGAAACCCTATACAGGTTTGCTATGGGTTGGAACTGACTCGACAGCAGTTAACGACAACAAAAATTGATTTTAAATGATTAACCATTTCATGTTGCGCGTACCTTAACAGTGTTGTTTTTAATCTTTAGGTACACCTGCAACCAGTTTCATAAGTTAGGCTGTTTAAGGACTTTGTATAAAGTACTGAAAACCAACACACATGAGATACAACTTCCTTTAGTGACTTTTTCTAGCAACATCCATGTTTTCAGCCAACAGAAACAGTAAAAATCTTATGATAGGCAAGATAGTTAGGAGTTCTTCTGTTAGTCTAGTTTCTTTTGACATCTGAATTCTATGGTTAAACAAATGTAGTAAATGTGATCGGTCTGTGTCAGACTCTGCAAACTGGCAGCAATTTTGTTATGTTTTATAGTTATAAATGTCTTCTAACTTTTGTTTGCATAATTCTGTTTTAATCTTATATATGTCCTTGATGAAAAAATAGGTAGTACTATGTGCACTATGGACAGAACTGTCCAGATTGATTTTAGGGTTTTTCTGGGCATATCTAGAAAGCACTTTGTTGTTAAAAAGTGCTATTGAAGTCTTTTCGAGCTCATACGGACCCTGGAGAGGGTTTTCAAGGAGTGTCTCATGGGTTTGAACCACCAGCCTTGTGGTTAGCATTCTAGTGCTTATCCTGTAGCACCACATCAGTAGGTAGTCTCAATTTAAAGACAGGGTATATAATACCTAACTCACAGTTTCTACTGGATATAGAAATAATTATTTATTTACTTATGGAGCTAGAGGTTTGTGGAATGATTATTGCATAATGAATCGATACAGATCTTCTGTGCAAGTAGCTCACTAACAATAGTGAAAATTAGACATTTTTTGGAGTTATGTCATCTATTTATTTACTTATGAAAGTTTAACTATATTAATAAGCTTCAAAAAGTTTATGGAAAAATGGAATGAATACTGGATTTTTCCCCACAAACTTTTTGAAGCCTTCTTGTATGTTATAGGTAAAAATGTACTAAAGGAATTAGGGAGAACACTTCAACCAGGGCAGATGACTTCATTCAGTGAGAATGAGCAAATGCCCTTGAATAATATGAAAAGAAATGAGTCTTTCCTAAGTTAATCTCTATTCTTGTTTGTGCTTCAGGTTGTGTAGTTAACTTGTGACAATAAAATAAGAAGCTGACATAGAATCCATGCTGACCCATGGCAACCCCATGTGTCTCAGAGTAGAACTTTGTTCCATATGGTTTATAATGGTTGTCTTTCAGAAGCACGGTGTTTAACTATAGGCCATTTATCAGCTGGTGCTCGATAAGTAGCTATTTCTTCCAGTATTGAAGAAAAATGTTAATGTTTTAGATCAAGTATAATTTCCATGTTACTCTGAAAAGTCCCGTTTGACATATTTATTTAAAGACAAATTTTATTTGTGTGTGTGGTGAGTCACCAATTTGGCATTATATTGTTTGCTTAGATTTATATCTCTTGACCATTTTTACTTCAAATCAGATACAATGTTTTTCATTAACATCAAATATATGGACAAAAGGAATATTTTTGTTTATCTTATATTAAAATTCATTTTTTTCTTTAGTAGAAAAATTAAGTAACTATTAAGAGTTTATAATTTTTGCCTCCATGAACAACTGCTTTCTTTCCCATGAGACCAAAAGAACTAGGTAGTGCTTAGCTACCATCACTTAACATTTTGATCCAAGATCCTATAGAAAAATCCTCATCAAAATGGGAAGTACAGAACAGAATTTCAGATTCTGATGTATTCCGTAATTTCTGGAGCCCAGAAGAGTGGATAAGCTTCTTAAAATATTGCCCTAAAATAATGTTTAAACCTTAAGCCAAAAATATCCCCTAAAGTCTTATTGAAACCCAAAGAGTAGTTTAACTTAACTAGTTAATGCTTGCCTTAGGCATTATGTTCATTTAAAATCTATCTTTATGGGATCAAATTGACAATATCAACTTGAAAGATTAGATAGGAACCTTAGGGGTGAGTGAGTTTATGTTAATGGGGGATGAATAACTCAGACAAGAAGGGTGTGAATGGTTGTACAGCTCAAAGAATGTTACCAATACCACTGAGTTGTAGGTGTAGAAATTGCAGTATGTTTTGCTGTGCATAGTTTCTACAGTGACAACAAAAGTAAAACAGA